CCTGATGGTGACTGAGTGCTTTGGGACTCCCCAGCTATGGTCCGTTGCCTTTCCCTCAAGGCAGCTTGGTACCATGGGAAGAATGCCCCACATGGACTTTGATAGCTTCGGGCCTGGTGCCCAGCCCTGCCACTGAGTGTCAGTGCGACTCAGGGCAAATCTCTTGGCTTCTCTGAAACAGTTTCCCCATCTGCCAAATGGGCACCGTGACTCTCCCTGCCCGCCTTGCAAGACTGTTAGGATGGCGCACCCCAGAAAGGTCGCATGGTGTGTTAGCTGGTCTAGAATGGAACCGTAACAGGGGCAGGGCCTGGACCTTTTCTGGAGGGAGGAACGTCCCTCTGCTGGGGCAGGTGGGCACCTTCCTGGGCAACGTGTCGAGGTGCCTAGGACACTGCAGTGTGAAGGAGGCTTCTCGAAGGCTTTGCCAGGGCCCACAAGCTCTGCGAAGCCCTAGAGAAGCTGGAAAGTTTTCAGTCTGCGTCTGGCTCCAAGAACCAGCCAAGTGTGGAGAGGCCTATGACCAGGGTGGCGAAGGGGAAGGACTTTTCTGCCGTGGAGACTCAGAGAGACCATCCACCACATCCTGGTCTCTGTCTCCCCAACCACTGACACACCATTATTGATGGCAGCAAGAACGATGAGCTAAGAACTTGGATGCGGTGTGTGCCCAGTGCTGTGAACCGTCCCCCAGTTCTCCTTGGCTCGCTGTTCCCAGCATCCACTCCCCTCTAAGCCAAGCTCAGCCCTGTTGATCCTGGGGAGACTCGGGCTAAATCAAAAGCTTGTCACGGCCACTGATGTCCCATGCCGCCCCGCCAAGACGCTCTCCCGTCCCAGTTGGCTGCCTTCGTCTCCCCAGCCCACCAGCCTCCGCCAATGCTCACGCGGCTGCCCGACCTCGTCCACTCCCTGGCCTTCCTCTTCGGCTGCCCCACCTGCTGCTGCTGCCAATGAATCCACCCAGCTCCCAGACCCTGGGCCTTGACCCTTCCCCCAACACAATGACTGGGTGGGAAGGGAGAGCCCCTGGCGCCATGTTTGTTTGAGAGACAACTCCCTAAAATTAGATGGGTTTGCAGTGTGTGGGAAGCACCTCTCTAGGATTGGTGAAATAGGGCCACCCCCCTCAGTGAGCAGAGGAAGAAACCGAGGCTCCAAGAGGAGCCATGAGGCAGAGCTGGGAAGCCAGCCCAGCGTCTAGCTCCAAGCCAGGAAAGGCCACCCTCCAGCTGGCCACGCGAGATCAGGCAGGCGCCTCCCCCCACTTTCACAAGATGGGGGTGATACCTGGGATCAGAGGAGCTGAGTCTGCTCAGCTGCGTGAGGCCTGGGCCTGCTCCCCTCCACTCTCTTGGGACCTGTTCCCTCCCGCCAGAGAACTAGGCTTCGATGGTGGCTCAGGCTCCTTCCAGCTCTAACGTCCTGATGGAGGGACCTGGCCAGAGAGGCCGGGGGCCCCCAGCCTTCCCTTCCCCCTGCCTCCCACATCCTAGCGCAAGGACAGTTGGCTTTGGGTTCAGGGGATCACCGATCCCATGGAAACGACCTTGGGGTCCAATCTCTCCCACTTTGCAGGCCTTTCTGGGGCTCAGAGGGGTTCAGGGCCTTGTCGGGGTCACCCAGGCAGGGGGAGGATTTGAACGCAGGTTGAAGGAGTTGGCCTCGATGATGCCCGAGGTCCTTTTTCAGACCCAAACCTTGAATCATAATATGACTATTAGATGTTTAATGGACTGGAACTGGAAGGAAGCCCTTCCTTGTGGGGGGGGGGGGCGGCAGGGGTGAGAGATCCCGCTCCAGGGCCCCCGCCATGACCAAGGCCCCATCGCCCCCCCTGGTGACCCGAGGGGGGGGCCGGCCATCACCAGCTGGGCGGAGGGCAGCCCTGATCCCCAGCCCCTTCCACCTCCAGCCCCAGGCAAGCTCAGGGGGCCGGTCCCAGTGACCACCGCTGCTGAGCATGGGCCTGGCCAGGAAATTGGGTTCATAGAATCATCGATTTAGAGCTGAGCTCTGAGGCCAGAGGTTAACCGGCACGAGGTCATTGATTTGTAGCTGAAAGGGAGGCCCTTGGGGGCTACCTAATCCAAACCTCTGATTTTTACAGAAGAGGAAACTGAGGCCCAGCCAGGTTCAGTCACTTGGGATCATAGATTTAGAGCCATAAGAGATCTCGGAGGTCACTAGTTCAACCTTCCCCATCTGACAGATGGGGAAACTGAGGCCCAGAGAAGGTGACAGAGATAGCAAGCAGCAGAGATGAGATTTGAAACTGGGTCCTTTCTCTGACTTAAAAGTCGAGCAGGCTTTCTACTGTATCATGATCCTTCTCTCGGACCCAGACGCTAACCTGCTGTGTGACCTGGAAAAGTCAGTGTCCATCTCTGGGCCTCAAGCTCTGCATGCTACAGGGTTTCCTTGGTGAGATTCACTTAGGATCTTAGGTCTGGGGTCTGAGAGGGGCTCGAGAGATCGCCTGGCCCAGCTCTCTCATTTTGTGACTTGCTCAAGGTCCCACATCTAATCACTTGAAAAGGCAAGATTAGAATTCAGCTCCTCCCACTCCAAACGTAGCACTCTTTCTATGGCCTCATCTATGAGTGATACGTTTAAATTTATATCACATTCACCACCCAGGTAGCCTCTGCACCCAACAGAACCCTCTGCTGTAAGAAATAATCACATTCAGGCAAAATGCATCAATATATTGACCATGGCAGGCGTGTATGCCTCATTCCACACCTGTAGACCTCCACCTCTTGACTGAGAGGAAGGAAGGAAGTGTGCGTCTTCATCAGCCCTCTGGAGTCCAGATTGGTCCTGGCGTCATTCTGAATTCCATTACCTCTTAGAGTTGTTTCCTTTTGCATTATGGCGGTCATTGCCTGTGTTCCTTCTCTGGTCTTTCTTGTTTTGCTGTGTATCCATCCATTAAACAAGTCTTCCCAAGGCTTTTTCAGGATTCCTTGTGCCCATCATTCCATTTGCCATAATCACATTTCATCCTAGTGAGATACCCAGCTTGTTCAGTCATTCCCCAACGGATGGGCACCCACTTTGTTTCTAATATTTTCTTACCACAAAAATGCTACTCTGGACATTTCAGTCTATGTGGGACTTTTCCCCCGATTCCATCCCAGAAAACACAGTGGAAGAGATTTGTGATGGGAAGGAGATAGCTCTTGGTGATATGTGGTGATAAGAGTGGATGAAAGGACCTTGGGGCAGGTATGAGTGAGGAGAGGGAGTGGACAGGACCAGGGAGGTGGAAGGAAGAGAGTGGGAAGCCCCCAAGCATCGTGGGGAAGAATCATGAAGTAGAGAGAAAGGATTCTTGGTTTGATTAATGAGAAGCTTACCCCTAGCCAGCCCCCAACAGAGCCTTAGGAAGGGAGATCATAAAACACAGAGTTGGAAGGGCCCTCTGAGGTCTCCTAATCCTGTATCTATCTAAAGCACAAACCTGCCCTCCACCAAATCTTCCAGAAGCATCATTAGCGGCGTTATCAGAGGGAGATTGGAGATGACAATAGTGCCGCTGAGATAATGCAGTAGGGGGTGGTTATAATGTAGCCTCAAGGCCCCCTGAGGATAGCCTCTTCTCAGCTACACTTAAGCCCGGTGGTACTGCTGGGGTAACCACCGACTCAAATTCATGGTTCATGAGCCCCCACTGGTGCTTCTTTTAGAAGACCAGACCAGATAACAGTGAATTTAAAGCAAAAGCATAGAATGGAACAGAATGACTTGACAATAACGGGAAATTAAATCCGATAGCAAATGCTCTTGGCACCCATTTCCAAATTTGTGTTGCCCCCACATTTGTCTCCCAGGGAGCACTGATCTCAGTGTCTGGTTAATCATACTGTATCACCGACTCAGCAGGAAGGGTATATATCAGTCACTCACCAAGGAGTGCTATGGAAACTCACTGTCACTCTAGGGAACTAACCCCAGCGTTGAACTGTAGGCTCGTCAACACTGCTCAGCCCAGGAACTGGGGGATCAATGAACCACAGGCTGTCACTCACCCCGAGGCTCAGGGGGAATGCTGGCACTTGGGTTATTGTTGTTCAGTTGTTATCAGTTGTGCCCGACTCTCTAGGACCCCACTTGGACTTTTCTTGGCAAAGACTCTGGAGGGGTTTGCCATTTTCTTCTTCGGCTCATTTCACAGATGAGGAAACTGAGGCAGAGAGGGTGAAGTGACTTGCCCAGGGTCACAGAGTTAGTGAATGTCTGAGGCTGCATTTGAAGTCAGGTCTTTCTGACTCCAGGCCCAGTGCTCTACCCACTGCACCACCTAACTGCCCCCAGGCTCTCAGGACACAGCCGGAATTTTCTTCCCATTTCTTCTCAGCTAACTGCCCTCAGCCCCCAGCTCAGGTGTCTCGTCCAAGCCAGATTTCCCCAGCACTTTTCAAAACCTGCTACTGCCTGGAGACTCCTCACATGCCACCGTTATGTGCGACCTGGACATCATGATTCCCAAGAAAAAAAAATGGAATTTGTGATTGGAATGGCCATAAAATGGAATTTATGACCCTTCTGCCAACAATATGATTCCGCTCTTTGTGATTCTAGACAAATGGATTAATAACATTATTAACAATACCTTCTATGTTGATATATACATTTGTATTCACTATCTCATTTGGTCATAGGATAATAGATTTGGAGTCAAAAGAGACCCCGGATGCTGGCTCGTCCAAACTCCCGTTTTTACAGATAAGGCTTAAAGAGACTGGATGACCCATCCATAGTCATACAGTAAGTGACAGTAAGTGTCAGAGGCACGGGTCTTCTGGACTCCGGACCAGCACTTTAACCATTCCACCAGGCTGCCTCTACTCAAAACAAAGCCCATGAGAGAAGCACGACCAAGGCCACAATCCCCATTCTACAGATCAGGAAGCCGAGGGTCAGAGAGTTTAGGTGATCTGCTCGTGGTCGCACAGTAAGGGGCAGA